AGAGTATAGGAAAAAGAAAGCAGAGTTCTAAGGTGTGGGGGTGCTCTAGCAAGAGCATGCCATGGACCCTTTGTCTTGAGGCTTTATATCTTTCTCTGGCCAGTGGGAATCCTAGGGAAGGTTTCAGAGGAGGTCTTAGCAGAATATTCATTAGCTCTTCAGGTGTGACCTTCAATATGTTGACTCATCCAAAGGTGCGTAGATAGGTATCAGGAGTTATTTCCTGGTTAGTTTTATTTTCAAGGAACATCATTGAAGAGGGATGGGACAGAGGCTGTTCTGCCCCCTGATAAATCCCTCCCATTGAGGTGCCAACAGCAATCAAGGCTCAACTACAACAGGAGGACCCACATGGGGTAGCGGCACACACGGAGTGCCCAGCTCAGGTGATCAGGGAAGCTATGTCACTGGACCCTACAGAATACTCACTTTATAAGACCACTTTACCAAGCCCAGCAGACATAGCAGCTCTGCCTAATACATAGACACAAACACAGGAAGGCTGCCAAAATGAGGAGACAAAGAAATGTGTCCCAAATAAAAGAACAGAACAAAACTCCAGAAAAAGAACTAAACAAAATGGAGACAAGGAATCTATCAGATGTAGAGTTCAAAACACTGGTTATAAGGATGCTCAAGGAACTTAGGGGAAGAGTAGATGAACTTGTAAAAACTAAAACATAGAGGTAGAACATAAAAACAGAACTAGAAAACATAAAAAGAACCAGTTAGAAATGAAGAATACACTAACTGAAAAGAAAAATACATTACAGTAGAGTAGATGAAACAGGGGATCAAATCAGAGATTTGGAAGACAAGAAAACAGAAAACATCCCATCAGAACAGCAAAAAAGAAATCCAAAAAAGTGAGGATAGTATAAGGACCTTCTGGGACAATTTCAAGCAGACCAACAATTGCATCATGGGAGTACCAAAAAAAGAAGAGAGAAAACAAGGAATTGAAAACCTATATGAAAAAATGACAAAAACCTCCCCTAATCTGGTGAAGGAAATAGACCATACAAGTCCAGGAAGTGCAGAGTCCCAAACAAGATGAACCCAAAGAGGCCCACATCAAGACACACAATTAAAATGTCAAAGGTTAATGACAAAGAGAGAATCTTAAAAGCAGCAAAAGTGGTTAGTTACCTATAAGGGACCTCCCATAGGACTGTCAACTGATTTCTAACAGAAACTTTGCAGGCCTGAAGAAATTCGCAAGAAATATTCAAAGTTATGCGTCGGCCTGCGGACTGAAGGGTCCCAGGTTCGATTCTGGTCAATGGCATGTACCTCGGTTGCGAGCACATCCCCAGTAGGAGATGTGCAGAAGGCAGCTGATCGATGTTTCTCTCTCATCGATGTTTCTAACTCTCTATCTTTCTCCCTTCCTCTCTGTAAAAATTCAATAAAATATATTTATTTAAAAAAAAGAAATATTCAAAGTTATGAAAAGCAAGACCTACATCCAAGATTACTCTACCCAGCAAAGCTATCATTTAGAACTGAGGGACAGATAAAGAGCTTCCCAGACAAGAAAACACTAACTAATTTACAGAATTTAAGCAGTGATTTTACAGTAGAAATGAATTTATTTATAAATGTTAATTATTTGGTTTAACACGAAAGAATAAATCAAGAAAATCATAATTATTACAGATTACTGTATGGTTGTCTCTGAACACAACGCAGAAGAGGGTGTGTCCCACACATTACACTCCTAAGGTGTGTGTGTGTGTGTGTGTGTGTGTGTGTGTGTGTGTCAAACCGTTTAGGGTACAGATGGAATACTTGTGAAAATGCAGATTCTAGACCTGCTAAATCTCTAAGGTCATGACCCAGAATCCAAATTTTATAAACCTTTCAGGTTATTTTGCTGACCACAAAAGTTTGCAAGCCATCATTTTAAGGGATCAGACCTATGTACATAATCACATGGATTTTCATTTTACCTTTAGCGGTAAACCTGGAACGAGAAGTATTTTACATATAGACGTGTATATGGATTTCTACTCCCCGCTCCAAGAAATATGTATCCAAAAAGTTTCCTCCTTCCAATGTGTTTGCTTTATGGACATCGAAGGCCAAGTGGCCAGAGTGAATGAGCAAGTAATGCTACTGCCTCCTAGTGATGGTGTGTGGCCACACAACAGAACAATAAAATACTGCAGCAAGGATTACATCGTTTCACATCCAATTTAGCCAAATCCAACATAGCTGACAGAAGCTAACGTGAGTTATTCCTCATTACTTTACATTCAACTCTATTATGACCAGAACATTGCTGGGTAACCTCTCTTCATTGAGCTCAATTTATTAATTTTTAGCCATGTGATTCTTATGATCATGCTTTCAGTTACTACAATATTACTACATTGAGACAGATTTACAGTTTGCAACTGGATGTCTGAGTAGAATTTACGATTTCTCAGTGTTGGCCCAACTGACATTTGGGCCAGGTAATTCTCTATCGTGGGATGTCCTGTGCGTGTCAGATATTTGGCAGCATTTCTGGCCTTCACCCCCTTGATGCCAGTCGCACACCCCCCCCAAAACTGTGACAACCCAAAATGTCTCCAGACATTGCCAGGTGTCCCCTGGGGAGGGGAGGCAAATTGCCCTCATTTGGGAATCACTGCTGTAGGGTTTTATGCACCAGGAAATATGGTGATTGGCAACCGTAGGCAGCTTGAGGGTGAGGGTGCTGTTGGAAATTGCTAGGGAAGGTGGCGGGCCCAAAACATCTCCCACCAGTGGGCAAAGTGAATGACAGCCTACCACTGTGGCCCCTGCCATAGCTCTGAACACCCAGGGGAATAGCACATGATGTGCCTGGGCCCCAAACAAACTGCACGTGTGCTCAATGTTCGTTATCGACTAAAACAGAGAGACCAGAGAAAACAAAAAGAAGTTATTTTCTGTAGCGGTGTTGGCAGCAAAGTGGCACCGGGTGTAAGATGGGTGGGGTCAGACTGGACCTGGGTTCAGAAACCTTGGTGCTTGGGTTCTGGCTAGAAAAGAATTCAGACCCAAGACTCAAACTATAGGGAAAGTTAGAGGTAGAAACAGTGAGCCGTAGAAGAAATGGGCTCAGGAAACAAATTACAGGGGCAAAAGTAGGGGCCCCTAGAGCTCAGGAGGGAGAAGGATAAAGGTAACGCCTAGAGGGGAAGAGGAGGATGGGAAGGGCTTGCGTGTGCTCCTGGGAGGGAGAGTGTGCTCCTGGGAGGGAAAGTGTGCTGGGGCTCTGTCCTCAGGGCTTTTAAGGGTGGGGACTTTAGGGGCAGGCCCAGGGGAGGACCTTAATAGACTATGCATCAGCTTTCCAGGTGTGTCCTTCCAGGGTCGTGGTCTCCACTGATTGGTCGGCGCCAGGGCTGGGGGTCATTAGTCATTGCACCTGGTCCTGA